CAAGCTTGAGCTCTGGTAGCGTAGTGGTTACGAATCGGGCTGCGGGCCACAAGGTCAGCAGTTCGAAACTACCAGCGGTTCCGCGGGAGAAAGATGAGGTGTTCTGCTCCCGTAAAGATTTACAGCCTCGGAAACCCTGTGCAGGGTCACTATGGATCGGAACCGACTCAACGGCACTTAACAACAACAACATACCAAAAAGAAATGGTCGATGTTCAAACATTTCAAGAGCCAATGAAACTGAAAGAAGTCCAAGGGGCACTGAAGGCATTGGCAAAGAACAAGTCTCTGGGAATTGATGGAATGCAAATTGAAATATTTCAACAAACTGATGCAACATTGAAGGCACTCACTCATCGATGCCCAGAAATTTGGAAGAGATCCATATTTGTGCCCATTCCAAAGAGAGGTGACCCAATGGAATGTGGACATGATAGGACAATATCACTCATATCACATGCAAGTAAAATTTTGCTAAAGATAATTCAAAAACGACTGCAGCAGTACATTAGCAGAGAACTGCCAGAGGTTCAGGCCGGATTCAGAAGGGGACGTGGAATGAGGGATATCACTGCTGACATCAGATGGGTCTTGGCTAAAAGCAAAGAATACCAGAAAGATGTTTACCCATGTTTTGTTGACTAAGCAAAGGCTTTCTATTGTGTGGATCGTGACAAGCTATGGACAGACAACATTGCGAAGAATGAGTATTCCAGAACACTTAATTGTGCTAATGAGGAACCTGTACATAGACCAAGAGGCAGTTACTCAAAGAGAACAAGGGAACACTGAATGGTGTGTGCTAGGGTTGTATTCTTCCACCATACTTATTTAGTCTATATGCTGAGCAAATAAATGGAGAAACTGGATATGATGAAGAACAGGGCATCAGGATTGCAATCTATAATATGCAGATGATACAACCTCGTTTGCTGAAAACAAACTTAAAATACTTATTGATGGAGATAAAAGACCTTTGATATGGGTTGCACCTCAATGTAAAGAAAACAAACACTTGCCCTTTGCGTTCACTCTTCCTAGTAGGGTTAGCTTGGGGAAGAAGTGGTTCCATCTCGCTTTCAGACCTTTAGCACATGCTTAAGGATCCCTTACTAGTCGCCAAACCTTAAATATGAATCCTACAACCATCCTACAAGACAGAGACCTTACCTTCACATAGCTCAGAACTCTACTGTGGTTGTAGATGCAGATATGTTGTTCTTAGGCGCTGTCATGTCTGGTCTGACTGACAGTTACCCTATGCACAACAGAATGAAACTGCGTGTTCTGGATCGTCTTACAACTGTTATGTTTGAGGCCAATGTTGCTGAAGCTGTGGTGGTCCATCTTGTTCAGGATCTTCCTCTTCACTGCTGACACTCCAATTTACCAACCATGATGTCTTTCTCTGGGAACTAGCCCCTCCTCATGTACATAAAAAGAAGTACTGGACCAATAAACAACATTCTTATCAATGGAGAAAAGATTGAAATTGTCAAGGACTTCATTCTTCTTGGATCAACTATCAACACTCGCGGAAGTAGCAGTCAAGAGATCAGACGACGTATTGCACTGGGCAAATCTGCTGCACAGGAATTATTTAAAGTGTTGAAGAGCAGAGATGTCAGCTTGAGGACTAGGGTGCGCCTGACCCAGGCCATTGTATTTTCAATAGCCTCATATGGATGTGAAAGCTGGACAGTGAATAAGGAGGATCGTAGAAGAATTGATGCCTTTGAGTTGTGGTGTTGGAGGAGAATACTGAAAGTGCCATGGACTGCCAAAAGAACCAATAGATCTGTTTTGGAAGAAGTGCAGCCAGAGTGTTCCTTGGAGGCCAGGATGGCTAAGCTTCGTCTCTCCTACTTTGGACATATTGTCCGGAGGAAACAATCGTTGGAGAAGGAGGTCACGCTGGGTAGGGTGGAGAGTCAGAGAAAAAGAGGAAGACCCCCAACGAGATGGATCAGCCAGGTGGCATCATTGATGGACTCAAGTGTAGCAGCGGTAGTGAGGTTGGCCCAGGATCGGACATTGTTTCGTTCTGCTGTGCATGGGGTCGCTATGAGTCGGTTCCGACTCGATGGCACCTGACAACAACAACAACAATGCTATATTTGCTTCCAATGAGCAATGTAACCATATTTCTTGCAAAGCCCATTTGTTCGTTCTCCTGCCTGTCCATGGTATACTTAATATTCTTAGCCAACACCATAATTCAAAAGCATCAGTCCTTTGATCTTGCTTATTCATTGTTCAGCTTTTATGATTGGAAAATAACATGGCTCGGGTAAAGTCCACCTTAGTCCTCAAAGTGGTGTCTCTGCTCTTCAACACCTTAAAGCGGTCTTTTGTAGCAGATTTGCCCAATTCAATACATTTGATTTCTTGACTGCTGCTTCCATGAGCATCCATTACGGATTCGACTAAAATTATCTAACAGACAAGATCAATCTTTCTCCATTGATCATGTTTTTTATTGGTCCTGTTGTATTTTTGTTTTCTTAACGTTGAGATACAATCCATAATGAAGGCTGTAGTTTTTTTTATTATTTTTAACTAACTGTTTCAAGTCCTCCTTGATTTCAGCATGCAGGGTTGTGTCATCTGTACATTGCAGGTTGTTAATGTGGAGGATAAGCACTGGACCGTAAGGTTGGTTTGAACCACAAGGTTGGCGGTTCAAATCCACCAACCACTCCTCAGAAACCCTATACAGGGTCACTATGAATCAGAATGGACTCGACAGCACTAAACAACATGATTCATGCAATTAATATCACAAAACTATACACCTGAGAAATGTTGAACTGAGCAAACATTGTATTATATATTATTTCACAACAATTTTAAATAAAAGTTAAAGTGGAGGGACGAGGACTGGGTGGGGGTGGAAAGTATTAAGAATTCAGCTGTCAGCTTCCTTTGCTAAGATCAAAGAGTGAATCAGTATTCAAACTAGGGTTTGGACCTTGGACTATGTGGCCCAAACCTGAGTTTCAAAAAGAGTCCTCTGAGTCATGTGGGGGATGGGCTGGAGGGAAAGAATTGAGACCTGGGGGCTGGGGTGACGGTCCAGGTGGAAAAGGATGAACCCCAACCTATGAGGGCAAAGAGAATCAGGGGACAAGACAGAGCCTGGGCACTGATGAAAGGAGCCCCTGTAACGCAGCTGGTAATATACTCAATTTATAACTAAAAGGTCAGAGTCTCGGTGTGGCGCTGTGGGTTAATGTGCCAGACTGCAGAGCCCTTTGAACTGCGAGGTCGGCAGTTCAGCTATGGGTCAGAATCGACTCCACGGCACTTAAAAACAAACTTAACAACAATCATAACTACAAGATCGGTGAAGGGCAGTGGGCTGTGGTGAGTGAGGGACAGGGAGGGGTGTGGCCTGGGGACTATTGGCTACAGAAGGCTAGCTAAGAGCTCAGAAGCTGGATTCATCTGTGGATGAGATTTCTCAGAAAAAAGGGGGGAGGAGTGTCTGAGAAAACCTGGTTTCTGAGAGTTTCACAAGAAGACCAAATGGTGGGAGCACCTCTGAAGTTGGAAACCTGTGAGGAATTTGGGATTTGACAAGAATCGGGAACCTATGGAAGGGGAGGCATCAGAAGAGACTTCAGACACCATAGACCCAGATCTAACTGGCAAGCTCTCAGACTCAGTCCTGGCACCTTGAAGGCCCTCTGCCCCTCGGGACCCAGTTGCAGAGGCAGGAAAGGCGGCTGGGGGGCTCGTCTTCCGCTGGACGTGAAGCCTCACTCCCAGGGACCTGCCCACTTCTGGCCTGCAGCACTTTCACTTCCCCCAGACGCCCAGGCTCAGTCCCAGCACGTGGAGGCAAAGGGGGGGCGGGGGGGAGGGGGACGAGGGCAGAGAGTGAAAGGGCGAGATGGAGACCCAGAGAGAAGAGGGAGAGAAACCAAGAGAAAGGGATAGGAATCCAGAAAGTAGGAGGCAAATATCCAGAGAGAAAGGAAAAGAGACTGGGAGAGGGGAACAGAGACCCAAAGATTGTTGCTGTTAAGTGTTGTCGAGCTGATTCCAACACATAGCTATCCTGTATAGGGTTTCTGAGGAGCAACTGGTGGGTTTGAGCTCCTGACCTTGTGGTTCAAACAAATCTTGGGGGGAGGGGTGACAGAAATGTAGAGAGGGACCAGGATCTAGAGAGAGGGGGACAAAGACCCAGAGAGAAAGGGAATAGAGACCTGGGGGAGGGGGACTGAGGTCTCTCCAGAGAGAGAAACAGAGATCTAAAGAGAAAGGGAAACAGATGCCCAGACAGATGGGGGCAGAAACCCAGAGAAAGGGGGACAGAAACCCAGAGAGAGAACAAAGACTTAGAAAGGGGGACACAGATCCAAAAGGAATAAGACAAAGACCCAAAGAGAGGGAGACAGAGACCTAGAAAAAGGGTGTTGGAAATGCAGAGAAAGGGAAATAAAGTCCAGGGGTGGGAGAGATGCAGAAAGAGGTGGACAGAGACCCAAAAAAGAGAACAGAGACCCCACGAGAGAGAGGGACAGATACCCAGAGAGTGGGAGCTGAGGCCAGGTAGGGGAACAGAGCTGGGAGCAGAGACAACAGGCGGTGACATCACAGTGTCTGTGAGGTCAGCCTCTTTCTAGGGTCAGTCCTGGGGACCCAGTGCCCAGAGCAGGCAGGTGTAGGCGGAGCCATGGAGACCTGGGAAGAGCTGCCCCGTGTGTCCTTAGTGTCCACCATTGCCAAAGCCCCACAGGTACTGGTGTGTGCTGTAGGGGGCTGGGTGAAGGCCAGGGACAACGACACAGACAGAGTCACTGCTTATGAGGAAGGAGGAGGTGGGGCCCCACTCTGGAACTTCCTCTTTCTGTGTTCTTCCTTTCCCTCTCTCTCAGCCTCACCTTTTCTCCCTTTCAGACTCGGCCTTTGTCTTTCGCCCTGGCTGGCCCTGATTGCCAATACCTCACTGTCCTGTCCCTTGTGTTGGTCTCTCCCAACTCTAGGCGAAGATGTCGGCTCAGGACAGCTGCCTCAGCCTCGTCAAGTACTTCCTCTTCGTTTTCAACCTCTTCTTCTTTGTGAGTCCCCTCATGGCTACCCAGCCCGGGCCCCAATCCCTGTCACAGCCCACCTCCGGACTTCCCACCTGCCCTGCCCACCCACAATTTTCTCATCTCTCCCCAGGTCCTAGGCAGCCTTATCTTCTGCTTTGGCATCTGGATTCTCGTCGACAAGACCAGCTTCGTGTCCTTTGTTGGTGAGGAGGACTGGGGTAGATAGGGAGGGTCTTTCTGGGACAGTCATGGGCCCTATCATTGCCAAAAGGGACTTCCTGGGGGTCGCCGTCATCCCAGGATGGGCCCCTGTGGTTCTCAACTCCCTAGGCAGACCCCAGGTTCTGCTCCCCTGCTCACCACTGCGGCTCCTCGCTGAACCTCCGTGTCTTCCTCAGGCAAATGGGTTGTGTATATTAATGCTAACAACTGCAAAATAATATTAGCAGTCATTTCTCCAGGACTTCCTGTGTGTCCTTTCTGGTGGTGGGGCTCATCAGAACCTGCCATAATCCTTCCCTTCTCCTGAGGTTCAGAGAGTAGAAGGCACTTGCCAGGCATAACACCTTGTTGTTAAGTGTTGTGAGTCAGTCCAACTCATAGCAGCCTAGTTTAGGGTTTCTGAGGCTGTAAATCTTCATCGAAGCACAAAGCCTCATCTTTCTCCTGCAGAGCGACTGACTGGTAGGTTTGAACTGCCAACTTTGTGGTTAGCAGTCCAGTGCTTATCCTACGGAGATAGAAGTGCTGAAATAATATTAATAAAAATAGAAAAATAATGAGGCAATGAAAACCTTAATAGCTCAGAGTTAGTAAGTATTTACCCTGTGTTAAGGAGCCCTAGTGTGGCATTGTAGGATAAGCATTGGACTTCAAAGTCAGTTTGAACCACAAGGTTGGCAGTTCAAACCCACCAGCTGCTCTACGGAAACAAAGGCACCCTGGTGGCTCCGTACTTAAGACACTCAGCTACTAAACAGAAGGTTGGTGGTTTGAAACGACCAGAGCAGCTCCACAGGAGAAAGACGAGGCCATTGGCTTCAGTACAGATTTACAGCCTTGGAAACCCTAAGATGTCCTACAGAATCACTATGACTCAGTGACAATTTTGTTTTGATCATATGTTAAGGATTGGATTGAACACATTCTTTCATATGTCCCTCAAAACAACCCTTGTTGTTGTTAAGTTCCATTGAGTCTGTTCTGACTCATAGCAACCCTGAATAGGGTTTCTAAGAAGCAGTTGGTGGGTTTGAACCCATTTATAGTTTGCAGTCCAGGACTTATCTGGGAACACCATCCTACAGGACTCCGAAAACAAACTAGGAAATAGATCTTATTCCCTCAGCTTCAGGGAGGTTAAGTGACCAGTGGAGTGGCACAGAACAAATGATGGAACTGTTAGGGGTGAAGAGAAACAGGAGGAGGAATGAAGGACTAAGAGCCAGAGAGATAGAAAGAGACTCAGGGAGAAAGACAGACACCCAGAGAGATGGGAGGGACAGAGATCCAGAGAGAAGAACAGGGCCCTAGAGAGAAAACAGGATCCCAGACAGAGAAGGGGATAGAGACCTAGATGGGGTATGGGGAGCTGGAGACAGAGATCCAGAGAAAACAGGATCCCAGACAGAGAAGGTGATAGAGACCTAGATGGGGGATGGGGAGCTGGAGACAGAGATCCAGAGAGAACAGGGCCCTAGAGAGAGAACAGGATCCCAGACAGAGAAAGGGATAGAGACCTAGATAGGGTGTGGGGGGGCTGGCGATAGAGATCCAGAGATGGAAGGACCAGGACCCCAGAAAGAGGACCCAGGATGCTGCTCTCTACTTAAGTGGCTGAGTGGGTGGGGGCAGGGAAGTCTGGAAACTGTACCAGGCCTCAGTCACTGTGTCTCACTTTCCCAGGTTTGTCCTTTATATCCTTGCAAATATGGTCCAAGGTCCTGGCCATCTCAGGAATCCTCACCATGGGCCTCGCCCTCTTAGGCTGTGTGGGGGCCCTCAAGGAGATCCGTTGCCTTCTTGGTTTGGTGAGTGGTCTGCCCTTTGACCTCCCTAGAACCTCAACCCACCGCACACCCACTTCTTCACCCCCACACCCCACTCCATCTCTAGGATCAAGCCCCTTTAAGTGGTCCCAAATAGGGTCTCTAGCAATTCCTGTAACCTGATCTCTCCAAACTGCACTCCCCAGTATTTTGGGATGCTGCTACTCCTGTTTGCCACGCAGATCACCCTGGGAATCCTCATCTCCACGCAGAGGACCCTGGTGAGTTAAGTTGGGCAGTTGGTGATGGTGATGAAGGAAAGGACAAAGAACAATGGAGGCAGACAAAAGATAGGAGCTGATAAGAGACAAAGAGAAATTACTGAGAGATAAGAGACAAAGAGAAATTACTGAGAGACAAACGTTAAGAGAGACAGTCCTACAGGACAGACAGCAAGAAAGAAACAGGGATTAAAATTAAAGACATACAAAGAGCCAAATAAAGGCAAACTCACAGGGACACAGAGATAGAGACATAGTAAGAGAAAGACATTGAAACCCAAAGGGAAATAAACAGAAAAATGAAAGAGAAAGCGAAACAAAACGCTGGGAGAAACAGAAGGCGCTGAGAAAGCCTTGGAGAACCACAAGGCCAGTGGTTCGAGTGCGGTGGCTCCTTAAGATATATACTGGTCTGTGAACCACAAGGTCAGCGCTTCAAGCCCACCAGTCGCTCAGCGGGAGAAAGATGAGGTTTTCTGCTCCCACAAAGATTTTTCAAAGCCTCAGAAACCCTATACAAGGTCGCTATCAGTCGGAGCCAACTTAACAAATAAAGGTAGTAAAAAGTGGTTCTGCAGAAGAAAAGATTTGCTCCCAAAAGGTCACAGTTTTGACCATCCTCTGGAGCAGTCCTACTGTGCACATGTAGGTTGGCCAGGAGTCAGAATCCACTGGTAGGCAGCTAACAACAGAGCTAGTGAAAGAAATAGCTGTTACAGATAGGCAGTAAGAGATATTTAAAGAACAGTGAGACATAACTAGCCATTCACTGAGGAACCAAGAGGCACACGGTATTCCTTGGGGTTGACAAAGTAGGCAAAGAACTAATACGGTCAAGGCTAGTGGGGGCAGGGCGGGGCAGTAAAGTCCTGCCTCACTCCTGGCTTCTCAGCTGGAGCGGAAGGTGCAGGAAATGGTGCTGGAAACGATCCAAAACTACCGCGTCAATCCGGAGGAGACCGCAGCTGAGGAGAGCTGGGACTACGTGCAGTTCCAGGTGCGTGAGCCACAGCCCTCCAGAAACAGACTGGCCCCGCCCCCGCCTCCACCAAACTCCACCCACTAGAGCAACTAGCCTCAGTCCGGCTTCCGCCCACCCACAGCAGGCCTGAAGGCATGGGGCCCCAACCCTAGATAACTTAACTTGGCTTCTTTATGGTCTGGTCCCAGACCCTGGCTGAGCCTTGCTTCCATCAGAGTCCACCACCACCCCAGGGCCTAACGTGAACCCCTACACCCCGCCTCACCCGACGAGGTCCCAAGTCTAGATAACATAAACTACCCCTAACATAGCCTCATCCCTCAGCGTCCTGAAGCCCCAACCAAACCAGACTCCACTCTCTACATCGAGGAAACTCCGCCATAGACCCCACCCCAAACTCCCTAACGAGACTTTTCCCATCACTGCCTCTTCAGACTGGCCCCAACCCTAATCCGATGGTCTGTCCTCACCCACGTGAGGACACGTGGTGAAGGAAAGCACATCCCTGCTCCAGGAGAAGATCCTAACAAGATCCCAACCCTAACTTCCAAATCCCGGCCAGGCCCCACCCCCGACAAAACCCCGTTCAAGTGGCCTAGCACACCCATCTACTAGTCTCCTACATGATGCAGGACTGCACCACCCACTCAACTTTCCGTCCACAACGTGATTCTACTTCCTGTATCCCAGGTCCCCATGTGACACGTGTCTCTCTCAGTCCCATGTTCCCTTAATATCTCCTAGTCCCGTTGTGCCCTCACTGTTCCCCGCGTAAGCCCACACCCACTACTTAGGCCCCTGGTCCCCAACATGACCTTATATCCATTACCCAGCCAACCCTTTGCGTCCCATCGAGCCAGGTTCCTCTGACTCGCGTCCCTTTCTCCCAGCTGCGTTGCTGTGGTTGGAATTCTCCGAAGGACTGGTTCCAGGTCCCCAGCCTGAAAAGCAACGTGTCGAAGGAATTACTCCTTCCCTGTTCCTGCTCTAACTCGTCGACCAACGACTCCGCATTTTTCGATAAAATCTTCCCCCAACCGCTGGTGCGACCTAGACGCAATACGGATATCTGCGTAGTGCCAGAGAGCACACATATCTACAACGAGGTAGGAGATTTTCCGTTGGGGAGGGGTCTGCAGGAGCTGCCGGTTGCCGGAGATGGGCGGAATCTAAATGAGACGGGGTATTCAGAGATGGGTATGGGTTACGAGAAGGATGGGGCTACAGGAAAGGGAGGGGCAGAGCAGCTCCAAAGGGGTAGGGTCAGCCTGCTAAAGACGAGGGCCTGACAAAGATACTGATTTCTCAACCCAATTCAACCCAACCCCCTGCCATTGAGTGGATTCCAGTACATAGCTACCTATTGGACAGGGTAGCAAGATTCCATAGAGTTCTGAGGCTGGTGTGGCACTGTAGGATAAGCGCAGGACTGCAAGATCAGTTTGAACCACAAGGTGGGCGGTTCAAACTCACCAGTTGCTCCTCAGAAACCCTATACTGGGTAGCTATGAATCAGAACCCACTCAACAGCACTTAACAACAGTCTTTTTTTTTTAAACAACTTTTTTTATATTAGTGGTGATAGTGTGCTGTGGAGTCAGTCCCGATTTATAGTGACCCTGTATAGGGTTTCCGAAACTGTAAATTTTTACGGGAGCAGAAAGCTGGTCGTTTCAAACTGCTGAACTGCTGACCTTGAAGTTTGCAGCATAACTCATAACCATTATGCTACCAGAGCTCTGTACAGTCTTGGAAATCCTATGGGGCAGCTCTATTCTGTCACATGGTGAAGAGCCTGTTGCTGTTAAGTGCCTTCTGACTAAGTGACTCAGTATAGGGTTTCCAGGAATACTGGTGAGGTGCTGTAGGATCAGCACTGGACTGCTAACCACACCACAAAGTGTTCCTTGGAAACCTTGTGCAGGGTCGCTGTGAATAGAAACCGACTCATCAGCACGTAATAACAACAAGGTTTCCAGGGAGCAACTGGTGGGTTTGAACCTCTGACCTTCTGGTTAGCTCTTGTGCCACACCAGGACTACCTATGAGTTTAGAAATCAACTTCAACAACCATCAGCAATTTATGAGACCGTATTTCTCCACACCTTGGCCTACAAAGTTTTATCAAACTTTTAATCCTTACCAGTTTTATAAAGTATGATAATTTAGTTTTATTTCCATTTGCCTCAAGAGAGAGATTGAGCATCTTTTCATTTGTGGGACTGAAAATCTGTGTTGGAAGTACAGCCAGAATGCTCCTTTAGTCTCTCATATTTCGGACATGTTGTAAGGATATTATGCTTGGTAAAGTGAAGTCAGCGAAAAAGAGAAAGACCCTCAACAAGATGGATTGACACAGTGGCCGCAGCAATGGATTCAAACGTTAGCCTTTATGGGGATAGGGCAGAACCAGGCAGTGTTTCATTGTGTTGTGCATAGGATCACTATGAGTCCTCCCAACTTTATGGCACCTAAATCGAACCAATCTTCATGGAAACCAACTCTCAAGTGAGTTCAAACCACCGACTGTTCAGTTAGCAGTCCAACGTTTAACATCCTGGTCCTCGATGTCTTGTGGTCCAGTCGGTCCCGACTCACAGCGACCCTATCTATGTACAACAAAATGAAAAACTGCCTCATCCTACGCCATCTTCACTGTTTTATTTGGCCCCATTTTTGCTGCGGTGATATATAAGAAGGTGCACAGTTTGGGAGAGGCGAGCCAGATATAGAGACTAGAACCAGATTTCCTGGAATCAGCTTCAACTCGTGGCTATCCCAAATGCACCAGAGTACAATTATACTCCATAGGGTTTTCAAAGGCTGAGTTCTCAGATTGATTGCCAGGTTTTCTTCCAAGACACCTCTGGGTGAAGTAGAACCTTCCCCTCTTTCGTGTAGCAGCATACCGCTGGCACCACGCAGGAATTCCAAGGAGATTATAGAGTATCGGTAATCAGTAACGCTGCGCAGCTATGCTCTACCCTGAAAGGGCTGAGAACTAAAGAGCGAATCCCAGGAAGACCCCTACCATTAACTTTTCTCTACACCCCCAGGGCTGCAAGCGGAGCCTCCAGAAATGGCTACACAACAACCTCATCTCCATAGTGGGCATTTGTCTGGGCGTCGGTCTACTAGAGGTGATCTGGATACACCCCAATTCTCCATTGGTTCCATAATTCCTAGGTGGCCCCGCCCCAGTTGAGCAAAGGGTCCATCCACTGAAGGGATGTTGCGGCTATCCTGCCGCCCCCACCGGCCTACCTGGGATGAGGAAAACCAAACGCATTACCTTTAGGTCTATTCACTCTTAGTGACCCTGTGTAAGGTTTCCGAGGCTGTGAATCTTTATGGGAGCAGAAAGCCTCATCTTTCCCCCACAGTGCGACTCGTGGGTTTGAACTTGTGGTTAGCAGTCCAGCGCTTATCCTATAACACCACTAGCACTCCATTCTGGAATAGGGAAGGTGGAGGCATATCTAGTCTGTGAGCTGTTTGGTCCAACGCAGCAAGCAGACGGTCCACCGCCCTTCCACACGAGGCTCCCATTGGCCCCTTCTGTGGCCAAGCCTCTGGTTATTGGCCGCTATATTTCCCACCCCCTTTCGTCATAGGTGAGTGTGGTGGGGATGAGCCTGCTGCTACCTCGCAGGGTGCTTCAGCGGGAATCCCAGGCGCGGGTGCCGGGCACTAGCGGTTCGAGCCCCGGGCCCGTCCTGAGCGCTGACGGCGGCGGCCGCAGTGGCATGCTAAACAGCAGCGGACGTAGCAGCAATGTACGGGGTAGCTGGGGAATGGCAGATGCCTGTCCCAACTGGGGAGACAAGGCCCCACAAGGCAAGCTCCCCATGGCCCTGGGGCCCTGGTCGCTGTGGGATCAAGACGAGGAGCAGCGCGAGACGGGGAGCATAGGCGTGGAGATGGAGGCCTACGAACCTCCAGAATAAAGGAGGGCGCTTTTACACCAACAGCGGCCCAGCGCTTGCTCCTGACCTCACTCCTTGCCAGATGCTACCTACTGCAGTTACTCAACTCACAGGTTCCCCTACCAGACCTGTTCCCACCATTTCCTGCTCACCCCACGCCCTTTGTTGTTGTTATAAGTCGGTTTCGACTCACAGCGACCTTGTATAGGGTTTCCAAGGAACAGATGGTGCGTTTGAACTGCCGACCTTGCGATTAGCAGTCCTTTTCCTACACTGTCGCACAGGATTCCACGTCTTTGGTACTCTTAATCCCCGCCACATTCTCCTTTGGATCAATTTCCCCAAACTCTTCCCCTTTATGTGACAAAAGGTTACAAGCTGAGCAGCATCTGAAAGGTACTCAGGAAGACAGGGCTGGCAATCCGCTTCCAAAAGGTTACAGCCTTGAAACCCTCTAGGAGCCATTAGACTCTGCACTCATGGGGAATGACCTCTAAACAACTGCCTTTCTTCTTCCCAGGTTGCACTAGGCCCAGTTCACCTAATCTCTCCTAGGCCTCCTCCCCACGTCTCCGCCCAACCATTTTCCAAGCATTTAGCCTCTCCAGTCCTTCCCCTCCCCCAGACCTCAAGAGTTCCCCAGACTTGACCCCTCTGGAGTTCTGACAGCTTCCTTTCTCTGTCTCCTTTCTCGTAGCTCGCCTTCATGACGCTCTCGATATTCCTGTGCAGGAACTTGGACCATGTCTACAACCCGCTCAAACAATACCGATAGGCCCCTCCCCTCCCCGTTCTGGAGACCTGTAAATACTTGCTTACTCCCCAATTTGGGCCCTCCCAGGCACAAGTCTTCGGCCTCCTTGTTTCCCTTAGGGACCCAGATGTCTGCTAGCCCTTAACTGTGCCTTTCCCATGGGACCTGGGGCTTCTTAGACCCTTTCCTTGCCACATCTGATGGCCTACCACCACTTCCCCTCAAGATTATTTTCCGCCCAAACCCCAAATAAATTCCTTAAGTTTTGGTAAAATAGCTTTATATTCTATCAAAACACAACCAACACACTTTTGGATGGGAGGGGACCGGAAACAGCCTAGTCCACATTTCGAAGGGGTGGCGGGAAAAGGGGATGATGGGAAGATTAGAAAGCTTCACCTCAGCCCTTGCCCAGCTGAGATAAAGTCAAGACCCTAACACCCATTTATAAATATCTCCTTGTATTAATAAAATGAACCCTCCTGCACAGAAGGGGTTAACCTTTGATTTGCGGTATGTGGGGTGGTAGGAAGGGATAGGGGCAGCAGATTTTGTTAGAGTTAGCTGTTGTGGTTGTTGGTAGGTGCCTTTGACTAGATTTTTTGACTCACAGTTACTCCATGTGACTGAGTAGCTAGGAAGGACTCTCCAAAATAGAATGGGAGTCCCTATAAAGAGGTTGAGGAAGGTTCACTGACTCCTGTCCCTAAATGAATTCCAGAGTAAACTAATCCCTGATACTCTGGCATGACCCCCTGGTGAGATCCCCCAAATCTATCCTTTCCTCTCAATTCCAGCCCATTCCATCAAGACAAAGAGCAGAAAATAAACTCCCAGGTTTGGGGATCCCCTCGAGCTTCAAGGACACCTCCACTAACTTAGGCCACTGTAACCAACTTCCTGTCATCACAGCTACATCCCCAAATGAAGAGCCCGGGAAGAGTAAGAGGTGGGGGCTCTTCTCCGATAAGTCAGTCCCTGACCAGGCGGTAAATGTGGTGCTGAGCCCCTCGCTCATTCGTGGAGACCTCAAAGACGTAGGCAGTGCACAGCAGAAGATCTTGAGTGTCTCTATTTGTCACCACCTGCCAGGGAGGCCAGAAGAAGAGAGGTCAGGGGGAGCCACTGTGCCCTCCCAGTGTATCCTCAGAGCTCCAGGTGACCTCTTTAGAAGCTCCCAGGAAAGGGGTCATGGTTCCCAGGCAAAGGGGAGTCCCTCCATCATGTCACATGTCCTGAGACAATGGGGGTTAGAGTGCCATGCTAATGCATGGGGGTTAGCAGATGGTGGTCTCTACCATATCATGTTTCAGGGTGCAGGTAGACCCCACCACATCCCATTTGAGGTCCCCACCATGTCCCAGGTACAGAGGACCCATCACCTCAGGTTCCCCAGTAAAGGGGTCCCCGCCTCAGCTCAAGGAGCTCATGTTCCCTGGACCAATGGGATACCCATCAGGTAGACTCCCTGTGAAGGAGGTCCCCTAAACTGAGGATCTGCTAAGGGTCCACTCTAGGGTCCCCACTGTGTCAGTGCCCTGGGTGATGGCATCTCCTATGTTGAGGGTTCTCCCTACAGTCTTCATGTCAGTGTCCCAAGTGGAAAGTCCTTTAAGCCAAGAGTTCACTGTGGGGGTCTTCATCATGTCAGTTTCTGGGTAAAGGAGTCCACTATGCTGAGGATACATTGGGTTCCTGATTATATCAGTACCAGGTGAAGGAGTTCCTTCAGCTGAGGATCTGTTGAAGGGTCACCACCATGTCAATTTCTGGGTGAAGGGGCCCCCAAGGCTAAGAGTCCACCACATCAGTTCTTGGGAGACGGGGTCCCTGCACGTCAGGCTCCTCTGAGCATACCGCAGCCGGGCCCAGCATCTCACCTGGAGGATAGTGAAGTTCTCCAGGACGCTGTTCATCATGTACCACTCAGGTAGTTGCCCTAGCTTATGCAAGAAGTTCACCAAGTACTCACACATGGGAGAGCGCATCAGGCGGTACACGAAGCGCCCATCCTCCAGCTGCGCACGCTCCGTCTACACCCAAGGAGGTTGGGGATGGGGAGGGCAGTTGCTGAGACACAGGGTCACTCAGGGAGCTGATGCCACCACACCCACACCCCACTGCAATCTCCCATCACCCCGGGAACAACAACTATAGAGATGTGACCCTGGAACACTCAGGCAGCCAACTCACAATGGCCAAACCGCCAGCCCCTCAAAGCCATACTCCGAACCCTCGATAACTTCCGCATCTGATGTCTAACCTCTACCACAATGACCTCCAAGCCCATCAGAGCCCCTCTGAACCCTCAAAGACCCCTCATGACATCTCAAAACATTATATGATCTCTGAACTCAAGACACCCCAAGTCCTCAGCAACCCCCAAATGTGAACTGCAAACCTCTGAGCCTATAAACTATATATGGTGGTTGGTGGTTATGTGCCGTGGAGGGGTTCCGACTCATAGCGACCATGTGCAGGGTTTCCGAGGCTGTAAATCTTTACCGGAGCAGAAAGCCTCATTTTTCTCCCACGGAACAGCTGGTAGTTTCAAACTGCTGACCTTGTGGTTTGCAGCCTGATTTGTAACCACTACACTACCAGAGCTCTTTACACTAAGCCCCTACAAAGTCTGGAAACCCTTCCTCTATGCAGATTTCTATTCCCCCAAAACTCCAGATCCGTCATGGCCCTTGGCCTATGTAGTCAACAATCCCCAAAGTGGCAAGTGGCTGGACACTCACCTGCCCAACAACTTCTCCCGGCACCCAGCCTCACCTCTACCTTCTCCACCACCTGCTTGCCAAAGGAGCAGACCTTAGAAGAACAGGTCAGAGTCATGTGTTCCAGGCTCTCATATTGGCTGCTTACTCCGTAGAAGCTGCCGCTGCCACCAGCCCCTGCCTCCTCGCCACTTGGACCCCAGTTCAGGTCCGCCTAGGGGATGAGGAGACACAGGTGAGTTGGAGATGTTGCTTATAAACAGAACTCTGCTAAGGTGGGAACTTCACCTAAGGCCTACTTTTTCTTGTTGTCCCTGCCATCACCTATTTCTTCCTCAGTATTCAAAGTCCCCCAATATCTCAGTGACCTGGTTGCCGGAGAAAGTCCCACCCATGCATGTTTTGGGATAAGTTTGGGTCACTGAAATAGTCCTAACCTTTTCCCAGTTAACTCCCCACACCAAAGAAGCTCTGGAATTCATCTTCTTTCTCCTGAAGCTCTCAACTCAGAATCCAGCCCCTTCTAAGGGTCTGCTTACTAAGAGGGTATTTCTACCCTGGCAACCAGTTAAGCTAGAGACTCCCTCTGAGGCCAGGCTGCTGATTCTTTCACAATGCTGGTTGCTAAGGCAGGGTGGCTACTTCCTGCCAACAGGGCCTGGCATGGCCTGAAGAAGCCTGATTTCCCTCTAGAACATTCCTCAGGGCCTTTCGGTCAATTTTCAGAGGAGAAAGCCTTCCATTTCCTTGGAGGGCAAGTGAGGAAAACTCACTCACTCACATCAGGAAAAAACAACAACCGCCAGCTGCTATTAATTCAGTTCTAATTCATGGAAACCTGTGTGTGCAGAGCAGAACTTCCCCATGGGAGTATCAAAGCTGTGACTTTTCAGAAGTGCATCCCAAGATCTGTCTTCTGAGTAGCTTCTGGGTAGGTTCAAACTGTCAACTTGTTGGTTAGTAGCCGAATGCCTAACTATCTGCGCCATCCAGGGACTCCATCACACCAGGTCAGGAAGTCTCTTGGTTTGCATGGGAGCCAAGGCTCTTCTTTCCATTTTGAGTTGCTGAACCTCTAGCAGGCCTCTCCTCAAAAGCCTGTCTCCTGGCAGCAGGGCCTTGTGATGGCGGACAAAGCCACAGATCTTACAGCCTCTTCCCTGAATGATGACGGCTGTCCCAACGGGGCTCACTCTGCGCACCTGGTCAGATCTGTCGTGAACCCTCATAATGCCTCAGACCTCAGAGCACAAACTCCTTGAGCTGTCTCGGCTTCTTCCCAAGTCAGAACCCTCATAACTGTGGTTTCTAGGAGCACAGTAAGGCAACAAAGTTCAAGCCCTGGCCAGACTCTCTTTCAGATTCTAGTTCCTTCCGTGGTCTGGGTTACCACAGAATTAATATGTCCCATGACACAGCTATAAGGAGAAATGAAGTTTTAAAACATGCTATAGCGGAGAACAAACAAGATGGCGGATCAGGTGGACGTGTATGTAGCAAAGAGCTCCGCCAACAACAACACCGAATACCCGACCAAGCAGGCTCAGGGGATGATCCCAGAACTCTGAACCACATATAAAGGAATATTTATAAGGTTGGAAGGCTCACAGCTGGGGGAATTTGTGGCAGAAGCAAGAAATTGCTTTCTGGTTCGGGACGCTCAGCTGCTCCAGGAGCCACCATCTTGTGTGGGGCCAAGCGGGGGAAGGATCAGAGCGGCCATAGACGCCTGGCAGAACCATGGAGATAAAGGTGTGGACATTCTTTTCTTTTGGTATCTGTTCATTGGTCCCTTGCTATCTGCGCACCTCCATTCTGGTGACTATAGGGGTGCCTGAGCTAGTGGGCACCCCAGCCCCACCCTCAGAGAGTTGTACTACGCATGCGCACAGATCTCCTCGAAATTTAAAACATGCTATAGCATGGATGAACCTTAAAAACTTCATGCTGAGTAACAGAAGACGAATACAAAAAGACAGTACTGTATGATCCCAATTATGTGAATTATCTAGAATAAGTATATAGAGACCAAAGTTTATTAGTGGTTACTAGGGATATGTGGGAGTCCTGGTGTGGCGTTGTGGGTTAATGCGCCACACTGCAAAGCCGTCTGAACTGCAAGGTTGGCAGTTCAAGCTCACCAGCTGCTCCTTGGAAACCCTATACAGGGTCGCTATGGGTCGGAACCAACTCAACGGTACTTAACAACAACAACTACAACAAGGGGTGTGAGAGAGGGAAGGGGGAAAGGGGAACTTATTGCTTAGGGGGACACAGCTTCTGTAAATGGTGATAGAAAAGTCTAGAAACAAATACTGGTGAGGATAAAACATGATATGCATAAAGTCACTCAGCTGTGAAGAATGTTGAAATGATAAATGTTTTGCTGCAAAATATTTACTACAATTAAAAAGAATTAACAACACCTGGTGTGGTGCTGTACAATAAGCACTGGACTGCTAATCTCAAGGCCAGAGGTTCAAACCCACCAGCCACTTCTTGGGAACCCTATACAGGATCGCCAAGAATCAGAACTGATGCAATGGCACTTACCAACAACATTCACTCAACATTTGTTGAATCCCTATTATCATCAGTCATTGTACTAGACACCAAACAAAAAAAGCCTAAGACAGATCCAAGATGGTCTTTTTATTCACAATTATACACTGGATTCTTAGCCACCCTATATAGGGTTTCTAAGGAGTGGCTGGTGGGTTGGAACCACCAACCTTGTGGTTAGCAGGCCAGTGCTGATCCTACAGCGCCACATCAGGACTCCTCAACTATACATAGTTCTTGGTATAATCATAAACACAAAAGAAATCTGTTGTCAACTTGATTCTGACTCAAGGCAACCCCATGTGTTCCAGAGTAGAGCCAGACTCCATAATGTTTTCTTGGCTCTAATATTAAAGGAAGCAGATCACCAGGTCTTTAGGTTAACTGCTGTTGTTAAAGGGTGTCGAGTCGGTTCTGCCTCATAGCGACCCTCTATGGAGTTTCTGAGGAATGGCTGGTAGGTTTGAACCATCGACCTTGTGGTTAGCAGTCCAGTGCTTATCCTACAGCACCACAAACCCAAACCACTGTGGCTCCTAGAGACCTAGTATATGAAGTCATGTTGTGGCATGGTAAGACCAGGGCTTCTTGGTGCTCAGTGGATACCTGCTCCTCACTTACCAACTATCTCATTACCCAACATTCCACATTTATGACGATTGTAAAACTAGCCACTAGCCAACTATTTTGTGCAATAACAACATAGTTCTGGTAGTAGCAAATGTTGAGGTATGAGGGGAGAATAACATAGGCTACGAGAGCTAAAGTTATGTGCCACCTTGGCTTGGCCATGATGCTCAGCAGTTTGGCAGTTACGTAATGACACTATTATCTCATCTGAAGTGCTTATCCTCCATTTTCGCAGATCACTGATTTTCACAAATGACCTGGGCTTTATAAACTAAACATGTTGATTAGTGAGGAGTGGATGTGTTATTGTTGTTGTTAGGCACCATTGAGTCTATTCTGACTTAGGGCGTCCCTATGCAAAACACAACGAAATACTGCCAGTCCTACACCATTCTAATCATCATTACATTTGAGCCCCTTGTTGTCAATGTGTCATTCCATCTCATTGGAGGTCTTCCTCTTCTTCACCGTTCCCCCACTTCACCAAGCATAATTAAATTCACTCAGTTGTGAAATGATAAATGTTTTGTTACATGTATATTTACCACAATTAAAAAGAAAAGCAGTAACACCCCTGGTGTGGCACTGTAAGATAAGCACTTGATTGCTATTCTCAAAGAGACTCTGATAACATGTCCCAAGTATGAGAGATAACATGTCCCAAGTATGAGATAACATGTCCAAGTATGAGATAACATGTCCCAAGTATGAGAGATGAAGTCTCAACATCCTGACTTCTAAGGCGCATTCTGGCTGCACTTCTTCCAAGTTTGTTTGTTCTTCTGACAATGCACAGTGCTTTCAAAATTCTTCTCCACCATCACAATTCAAATGCATTGATTCTTCTACAGTCGTCCTTATTCACTTTCCAACATGCACATGAGGTTATTAAAATTACTATGGCTTGGGCCACACTCATCTTAATTCTCAAACTGACATCTTTGCTCTTGAGCATTTTAAAGAGGGTGTGTGCAGCAGATTTGCCTAATGCAATACATTGCTTGATTTCTTAACTGCTGCTTCCATGAGTGTTGAAAGTGGATTCAAGCAAAATGAATGAAGTCTTTGACAATTTCAATCTTCTCTTCATTTACCATCATGTTATTTATTAGTTGTGAGGATATTTGTTTTCTTTACATTGAGGTACAATCCATATGGAAGGCTGTATTCTTTGATCTTCATCAATATTTCAAATCCTCTTCACTTCCGGCAAGCAAGATGGTGTCATGTTGCAGATTGCTGATGAGTGTTCCTCCAATCCTGATGCCACATTCTTCTTCATATAGTCCAGCTTCTCAAATTATTTGCTCAATATGCAGACTGAATAATGTGGTGAAAGGACACAAGCCTGACACACACCTTTCCTTATTTGAAACTATTCACTATCTCCTTGTTCTATTCGCATGGCTACCTGTTGGTCTATTTACAGGTAAGTTCCTCATGAGAACAATTCAGTATTCTGGCATTCCCATTCTTCGAAATGTTATCCATAGTTTGTTATGAATCATGAAGTCAAATGCCTAGCTAATAAAGCATAAGTAAATATCTTTCTGGTAGTCTCTGCTTTCAGCCAAGATCTATCTAACGTCAGAAATAAGCGGGTGTTATTTTTGTTGTTAGGCACTCTCAAGTCAGTTCCCATCCACAGTGACCACATGTACAACAGAACAAAACACCGCATGGTCCTGCCCCATCCTCACAATTTCTGCCTTCGGTATGGACTGCATCTCAGTGTAAAGAAAACAAAAATCCTGAACACTGGACCAATAAACAACAGCCTTATCAGAGAAAAGATTGAAGTTGTCAAGGACTTCATTTTTCTTGGATCAACCATCAAGACTCATGGAAGCAGCAGTCAAGAAATCAAACAACATATTGCATTAGGCAAATCTGCTGCACAAGATCGTTTTAAAGTGTTCAAGAGCAAACATGTCAGCTTGAGGACTAAGGTACACCTGACACAAGCCATGGTATTTTCAATAACATCATAAGCATGTGAAATCTGGACAGTGAATCAGGAAGATCATAGAAGAATTGATGCATTTGAGTTATGGTGTTGGAGGAGAATATTGAAAGTACCATGGCTTGCCAAAAGAACAAACAAATCTGTGTTGCAAGAAGTGCAGCCAGAGTGCTCCTTGGAGGCCAAGATGGCCAAACTTCGTCTCTCATACTTTGGACATATTGTTAGGAGGGACCAGTCACTGGAGAAGGATATCATGTTTGGTAAGATGGAGGATCGGAGAAAAAGAGTTGGATTGGCCAAGTGGCAGCATCGATGGACTCAAACGTGGCAAAGATAGTGAGGTTGGTCCAGGATCAGACAGTGTTTCCTTCTACTGTGCGTAAGGGCACTATGAGTCAGTAGCAACTCAATGGCACCTAACAACAACAACAACAACAACAAGCTGTAGCATTCCTTGACGACATCCCTGTGCCTAAGAACCAATCTTCCAAAGAACAAACTCCACTCCTGGCTCTTCTTTCAGGTTGGTAGTTGGCCCTTCTTTCCCTGCTTACTTCTCTCTCCTTTTATCTTTATAAGATCAAAGACGTTGCAGGCTACACCCTGGGAAACTCCCCTATGTCTGATCAGGGTTGTGATGGAATTAAAGGTATTGGAGTCCACCGTTAATTAACCTATTGATTGATCATATCAGATCACATCATAGGGGAATCATCACACAACTGCCCTATTACATTGTTGTTATTGTTGTTGAGTCAGTTCTGACTCATAGAGACCCTGGATAGGGTTTCCAAGGAGGAGCTGGTGAATTTGAACCGCCAACCTTGTGATTCAAACCGTCCTTGCGGTCCAGTGCTTTATCCACAGTGCCACACCAGGACTGCAGATTCACTGAGAATTATGACCCAGCCAAGTTGACATGCAATTTGAGAAAGACACAATTCAACGTATGAAAATGTCTTAGAAGATGCTTTCAGTGAGCATGAGGTTATACTGGAGGGTTGGCCCTTATCATATGCTTATAAGAAGAGAAGACACAGACACACTGGGAAGGTGTCAAGCGAGACAGAGGTAGAAACTAGACTGATTCATGTACACGTCAAGGAGCACAAAGATTGCCAGAAATCAGAAAAGACAAGAAAGAAACTTCTAGAACCTCCAGAGGGTGGACAGCCCTACCAACACCTTGAGTGCAGACTTCTAGCCCCCAGAACTGTGAGACAGTCTATTGCCGTTATTTTAAGCTACTCAAGTTTGCAGTACACTATTATGACAGCCAGAGGAAACGAATATATCATCCCTGAGCTGCAAAACTAGACGTGTTCAGGTTTCCTCATGTAAAACATCAAAAGCTAATCCCCAGGGTTATATCAACCCCCAGCAACTGGGTTTGGCAAGGCCCAGTAGGATCTAATGGAGTCCCTGGGTGGTGCAAATACTTTAGCAGTTGGCTACTGACAGAAATATTGGCAGTTTAAATCCACACACCTGGTGGTGCATCAGTAGAAAGGCCTGGCAATTGTAAAAACTATCATAGCCATTGACAACTGTATGGATCTCAGTTCTTCTCTCACACTCAATAACAATTGGTTTGTCTATTTATCGGCGGGATCTGGTCCCTGGGAGGGGCAAATGGTTTACACTCAACTAGTAACTTAAAAGTTGACAGTTTGAACCCACCCAGTAGTGCCAGAGAAGAAAAGTCTGGTGATCTGCTTCCCTAAAGATGACGGTCAAAAAAAAAAAGATGACTTTTCCAGCAGCATTTAGCACCACCCCTTCCCCACTAATATGGATGCATCTGATTTGCTGCCTCACTCCACTTTAGAGTGCTTATGGTTGGAGAATCCTCCTCCTCTCCCCCATCTCTTCAGATAAGGAAAGTGATTGATCCCTTCCATCAAAGACACTCAGCTCTGTCCAAGAGTCCTCAGGAATGAGGAGGTGCTTTCTCATATGGTCAAAGGATCAGAGTACTGATCCTTTCAGAAGCGATGAAATTAACCAGCCAAAAATGTCCACTGCTGTGGACTCTATTCAAGAAGAGAGAAGGTCTGACTTCATTGTCCAGTTAGGGAAGACTTGAAATATAAAACATGAACTTATAAAAAAAACAAAACCCCATGGAGTTCTACTCTGTAACACGTGGGTTCAACATGAGACTGAGCTGACGGGATGTCAGTGGGTTAGGTTTGGTTTGGTTTGGTTTGGTGATCTGGGGATCCCTACACATCTGTACTGGTCCCTCTATCCATCTCTCTTGGGTGTAAGACTCATCTGTGTTCCATGAGTCTGACCTGCTGGGTCCTAGACTGTCCCCTTTAAATTAGAGGCCTCAGTCAAATGACTTTGGTGGAACTCACCCAGAACTTGACCAGGAAAAAGGCATGGGGGGGCCCACGATCATACAGTTCCCGCAGACCGCCCTTTTTCTCTGGGAATTTGTCGTAGATCTGCCGGACATCCACGCTCTCAAGTGGAGGAGCTCCAGGACTGGGGCAATGCTGGCTGATGTGCACAAATAGGTGCCTCTGGTACTGAGGAGGAACAGCCATGAGTGAGGACTGAAAGGTGGGCTGGACCCGTCCCACACCCCCAAGTCCACCCTTACAGCTAGCCAGGCCACATTGTCTACCCAGTCACTGGGCACTGTCCTCACTCCCTTCCACACACTCATTCCCAGAGTCCTTCAATTCCTCCTCCCCAACTTTCATTCTGGCTCCCTCCTCTAAGTCCCACAGCCCCAAACCCAGCTCAGATTTCATCCTATCACACCTGGGCCCTTCTCCCAGCTTCCTCCCTGGCCTTCCAGCTTCCAATTCTCCTCTCCAGTTCATCCAACACACAGCTCCAGAGCTGACTTTAGACCTCTCATAGCTCCTTAGTGCCCCCTAGAACAAGACCCACAGCCCTTAGACTTGCCCTGAATAGAATAGGTGCTCATGAATGTTCATTGTATGGATAATAGATGGATGATGGATGAATGGATGGATGGTGGATGATGATAAAAGGATGGATGCTAGATGGATAGGCAAATGGACAAATAGATAGATGGAAATCCACACAGCCCACATGTAAGACTCCTCCTCTGTCCCCATTCTCATCACTCCCTGTCTGTATCATTGACGCTCTCCCTTCTTTCTAGGTTAAAATCCAAGCACATCTGCCACTTCCTGGAAGCCTTCTTTAATCAGATGCAATCTCTCCACCCCACCCCTTTGATGGTTCCCCATCACCCTTAGAAGAAAGTTTGGGTCCCTCGGCTTGATATGCTAGCTTCTCCAGAATCAGCACCTGTCCACCTTTCTACAGCCACAAAAGTTCCCACCACATTTAATTATGTGTTTCCTGTAAACTCTATGCTGTTTTCATCTCTATGCATGGAACATTCATTTCTGCACACGGCAAGCACTTATATAAATCTCAAAGCCCAAATGTTTGCAACTCAAGGAAAACCTCCCTGATTCCCAAGCGGAATTAATATTCTATATAACCACAAGAACTTAAGTTTCTCCTATCCCAACATAAAGTCACTATTCAACAGACATCTATCGAGAAACCTACTGTGTACAGATATTTTTCTGGGTCCCAGGGCTATAAAACAAAGTCCCTGACCTCATGGAGCTCAGGAGCTATTGGTGAAGATAGAAAACAAATCAATCTATGGTTAATATAAATGTCAGAGATGATATGTGCTAGGAAAATCATAATAAAGCATACCAAAGGGGTCGAGAATATAACAGTTGGTACTTTCCATGAGGTGATTTGGCAAAGAAAAGCTGAGAAAATAATAGGAGTGCACAGAGGAAGTGAGTCAAGGGGATAGCTGAGGAAAGTACATTTCAGGCTGCAAGATTATTAGGCACAAAGCTAAGGCAGGAGCAGGCCTCATGTGTCTGAAGACCATCAGCGAGGAGGCCAACATGCCTGGATAGGAGTAACCAATGAGGAGAGAGGGGGGAGATGACATCAGAGTGAGGTCAGGGACCAAATTATTCAAAGTCTAGCGTGGACAATTGAAAACAATTTAACATTTGCTCTAAGTGAGAATAGGGTTTTGACCTGGATCACTCTATACAGAGATTGGTGTATATTTATGTGACTGGGGCAGAGACTGCTCTGTGTTCACAAACGCCGGTTCCTTTTTATACAACTAAACTACATTTCCCAGATTCCTCTGCAGTTAGGTGAGACCACCTGACTAAGTTCTGGCCAATGGGATATGAGCTGATCTGAGCCTTGCTGTTTCCAAGCCAGACTCATAAAACCTCTGGTGAATTCTTGAGTCTTGCCCTACCTCCATCTGTGGGTCCAAGGCAGATAATCTAACAGTCAATTCTGGGACCCTAAGTGGTAGAACGGAGTGCTGGTGTGGCGGTGCGGATTGCAAGGTTGGTTTGAACTGCAAGGTTGGTGGTTCAAGCTCACCAGCTAGCTGCTCCTTGGAAGCCCTATGCAGGGTCGCCATGAGTTGGAATCAACTCAACAGCACACACCAACAACAAGTGGTAAAATGGTTAAACTGCTAACCAAAAGATTGTTGGTTCGAACCCACCAAGCAGCTCTATGGGAGGAAGATCTGGTGATCTGCCTCTATAAAGACTGTTGTTGTTGTTATGTGCCGTGGAGTCGGTTCTGACTCATAGCGACCCTGTACAGGGTTTCCGAGGCTGTAAATCTTTACAGGAGCAGAAAGCCTCATCTTTCTCCCGCGGAACAGCTGGTAGTTTCAAACTGCTGACCTTGTGGCTTGCAGCCCGATTCGTAACCACTATGCTACCAGAGCTCCTTTCTATAGACTGCAGCCTAGAAAACCCAGTGGGACAGTTCTAATCTGTCACATGGATCGCAAGGAGTTGAAAACCTACTCTAAAGCATCGAATCAACTCTATGCCACCTAACAAGAAGAGGCACAAATGGTTAGGTGCCTCAAAAGCACCTTGGAAGAAAGGTCTGGTGATCTGCTTGCAGAAGCTAGCACAGCCTTGAAGGCCCGTTGGAGCAGCAGTTTTACTCTGCACACATGGGGTGACCTTGAGTTTGAGTTGACACGACAGCCACTAGCTTGAGAGTGGCAGCACCATGAAATGGAAGGTGCCTGGTTCCCTGAATCACTGTGACAGGTCCCAGCTCAACCACCACACTGAAATGTTACCTAATGAGAAACAGACTTCTCGGCTGTTCAGCCCTGATGGTTGGAGAGAGTTTTTTTCTAACAGTCAATACAACCCATCTAACACAGCATCTGTTTCTACTCTACCCCAGAAGCTCAAGGCTAGAAACAAGATCTGCTTTTCCAGCTTCCCAGGACCCAGTGCAGGTTGGCAGAGTCATCTTTTGTTCTCAAGCCAATTCCAACTCACAGCGACCCTCAGACAAAATAGAACTGCCCCATAGTGGTTCAAGACTGTCATCTTTACAGAAGCAGACTGCCACATTGTTCTGTCCTGGGGTTGCTGGTAGTTTCAAACTGCCTTCCCTTTGATTCATGGCCAAATGTTTAACCACTGCACCACCACGGCTCCCTGATGCACAGTGTTCCTGATGTTGTTTGCCTCTGAGTGAGTGCCAACTCATAGCGACCCTGTTCACGTTTCTGAGAGTGGCTGGTGGGTTTGAACTGCCAACCTTTTAGTTAGTGGTCCAATGCTTATCCTACAGTACTACACCAGGGCTCCTGACACACAGTAGGCATTCAAAAATGTTTGATAAATGAATAAGCAATTTTCTGGGGAGTTTCTCTGACCTTACAAATCTGTGACCCCATGACCTTCCTGTTCCTTTATGCTAACAGTTATCGAAGCGTGGTTCCTGGACTATAACCAACATTAGAAGTAGCAGCAATATCTATCAAGAGTTTGTTAGAAATGCAAATGCTTAGCCTCACACCAGACCCCTTGAATCAGAAACTCTTGGGTAGAGCCCAGCTGCCTGTTTTAACAAGCTCTCCACATTATTCTTGATCCACATTAAAGTCCTTCTTCCCTATTACCTGCTTACATTCTAGAAACCCCTCAGTGACCATCCCAAGATTTGACTCACAGAGTCAACAGCATCCGGTGGTTCTACAAAGGCCGAGAACTCCACCAGCTGCAATCGGGCGGTCCCCAGGGCCCGAGTCTGCCAAGCTGGGGGTGATGGGGCAGGTGGGGGCAGGGTCGGGGGTGAGAGGGCTTGTGGGGGCTCATACCCTAGGAAAGAAGAGAAAGAATAATAAAAATAGCTAATATTTATAGAAGATATCAGGTACTGTTCTCGCTTGCCTACCTCCACTTAGAAGCTGAAAAAGCTAAATACTCACTTTCCCAGCCTCCCTTGCAGCTAGAGGTGGCCATGGGACACAGTTCTGGCCAATGAGACGTTAGGGGAAATCTGCTGGGGGGCTTCTGGGAAGGAGTTTCTTCCTGAATAAAAGAGACAGAACTTTGGGAGGAAACAGCTTTTGGCCCTGGCCAAGTCCTTCTTGGGATGTGATGCCTGGAGCCACAACAGCCATCTTGTGACAATGAGACAGAGGTCAAGAGAATGACAGAGATGCCAGTCCTGATATTGTTGAGCTGCTGACCCAACACAGGAGCAGCCCACCTCCAGACCTTTTGTTACGTGGAATAGTTAAAGCCTTTACTAGTTAAGGCGCTCTTAATTCAGGAGCTGTTACTTGCAGCCAAAAGCATTCTTGATGAGCCTGTGGACCCTGAGAGTGAAAGGGAACTCCCTCTTTCACTGAAGGAGTGATTATGAGTTCTCAAGGCCACATGCGCCTGGATACCTGAGAGCCACCTTCACTGCCAGGTAGGCAGAAGCTGTCTGGGAATGAAGTCACCAGAGGAAAGCAGAGCCAAGCAAGTCCTAACACTATGATTTGAGCCCCTAGATCTAGCCACACTTGAAGCTATCAGTTACCTAAACCAATAAATTCCTGTTTTTCCTGAAACTAGTTTGACTTGCATTTCTGTCACTTGTGATTATACCAATCCTGAATGATACACTTGGCCAAGGTCCCATAAGTTAGCAAGGCAGAACACAGACCCACCGTGTTAAGCTGCAGAAGCTATATGTTCTTCACTATAAACACTTCTGCCCTCCCTCCCAGAGCTCGGTTTCAGTAAGAAGGTGAAGAATGTGTCCCCTGACTAAGGGAAGGTTGAAAAAATTGCAAGTAGGCTTGTGAAGCAAGAAGAGCAACAAGGGAGGGAAAAAAGCAGCCCTTACCTGGGAGCTCAGTGGATGGAGGAGTCAGCGACAAGGAGAACGGAGTCTGTGAGAATGGCTTCACACTACGGGAAGAAGGAAGTCAGGGAGATGAGTACAGTGGTGGTTTTGTGCTGTGGAATCGATTCCAACTCACAGCGACCTGTATAGGGTTTCCAAGGCTATAAATCTTTACAGAAGCCGAAAGCCTCATCTTTCTCCCACAGAGTGACCAGTAGATTCGAATTGTTGACATTGTGGTTATCAGCTCAACTTGTAATCCTTCAAAACGGTGGAAAGGTCTAATCTTCCCAGCTAATATATACTGGTATGGTGCTGTAGAACAAACATTGGCCCAAAAGGTCAGTTTGTACATGTTTTAGTCAATTTAGTGACATTGATTACATTCTTTGAGTGGTACAATCATGCTCACCTGTCTTTTCTGAGTTGTTCCTCCCTCATTCACATAAACTCATGGTCGCCTATCTAATGTTCTGTTAACAGTTTGATCCAACATAGGCAATTCTTAAAAGAGCATATATAAGGAGTTCTGGTAGCATAGTGGTTACAAGTTGGGTTATGAACTTCAAGGTCAGCAGTTTGAAACTATCAGCTGTTCTGCTGGAGAAAAATGAGGCTTCCTGCTCCCACAAAGATTTATGGCTTTGGAAACCCTATACAGACTCACTATGAGTCAGAACCGACTCCATGGCACACCATCACCAAATGGTACATATAGAAATGTTTAATTGATATATGTTTTGTGATGTAAATACTCAACAACAACAAAACAAATGAATTTTTTTTAAAAAAGAGAGAAAGTACTCACTCTGGAACATTCCAGGGGGTCCCAGAGGCCCCTGACCAAAACTGGAAAATCTCAGTGGCCTGAAAATGAATCACAAGGTACTGAATCAGTTCCCAGCTGGCAACTAGTGCCCCGCCCTTCCAGTCCCAAGCCCCCTAACCCCAAGTTCAGGGCCACCTGAGGGCTGGTAGGACCCAGTTTGGCTTGCAGGGAAGATGCTGAGATGAGCTGGGCTGAGGACATGGTGACCATTGTTTGGAAAGCTTTGTCCTTGGAAACCTGATCCTGGAGGGAAAGTTAGACACAGTCAGGGTGGAACAATGGTGGGGCGGGGCAAGCAGGATCAAGCTCCAGGCAAAGTGTTGTGGGGAGTCCAAATCTCTCATGACAGCCCCCTGCCCCTGCTTGGCTTCCTCCGGAGGAGGGACAGTTGTCTAGGGGAAGGGAGTAACAGAGTAGGTAGGAAGATGAGCAGGGGATTTACCACATTTAGGGCCTGCTCAAGGGGCGGAGGAGGGTGCCAAAAGAGGAAAGAAAACATGATTTAGGAAATGACCCCTGGACTTCCCCCACCTCCCTGTCCTACCATTTCCACAGCCCTGCCACCCTGACCCTCCCTGAGGAACCGGGGAAGATGGTGGAGGGAGAAGAAGTAGAGAATTAAGAGATTTCCAGGCCTGGGCGGGGGACTGGAACGGACAATGGGGGCGGTGTAGATACAGGAAGGAGGGTTTCTAGGTCAAGAAAGTACAGGAAGTGAAGATTTCCGGATATCTACCCAAAAAACCCCAATGTTGTCAAGTTGATTTCAACTCATAGTACTGCCCCATAGGATTTCTAAGACTGTAAGTCTTTATGGAAGAGAACTGTCTCAGGTTTCTCCCATGAAGCAACTGGTGGATTTGAACCAACAACCTTATGGTTAACAACCAACACTTAACTCACTGCACCACCAGGTTTCCAAAACCTAAACCTATTGACTTTAAGTCAGTTATGACTCATGACCCTGTAGGGCAAAGTAGAACTGCCCTCTTAGGGTTCCTGAGACTATAAATCTTTATGGGAGCAGACAGCCTCATGTTTTTCCTGCAGAGCAGTTGGTGGGTTTGAATCATTTACCTTATGACAAACAGCCTAATGCCTCACCCACTGCACCATCAAGCGACAGAAAATAGAATTTCAGACCCAGAGGGAATAGACAGGATGTTCTCTAGTCAGACAGGACAGAGGGGTAATGCTAGGGTTCAGGAAGGATTTGGAATAAAGGTTTAGACACAGAGAGAAAAGGAGAGGAAGGTTCTAGGTACAAACTAGGGCAGATTGTCCCCACATTCAAAGGAAGAGGCAGAAGAGACCTCGCATCTGGAGGGAAAGAAAACGAGGGTCTTAGGATAAGTTATTGTGTGCCTGTCAAATCAATTCTGACACACAGAGACCTCTTAGGATGGAGTAGAACTGTCCATAGAGTTTTCTAGGCTATAATCTGGTGTGGCGCTGTGGATTCATGCGCCAGACTGCGAAGCTGTTTGAACTGCAAAGTCGGCAGTTCAAGTTCACCAGCTGCTCCTAGGAAGCCCTATACAGGGTTGCTAAGGGTCGGAACCCACTCGACGGCGCTTAACAACAACAATCTTAAGGGAGCAGATCACCAGGTTTTTCTCTCAAGCCACCGAGTGGATTTGAACTACCAACCTCTCAGCAGCTGCATACTTAACCACTGTGCCACCAGGGCTCCTTCTCAGGACAAGCAGGAACAAGATATCCAGAGGACAGAGAGGAAAGGGAAAGTAGGCATAAATGTCAGACAAGAAATGAGGGTTTCTGGAGAGGGGGCGGAGGAAGGTAGAATCTCCACTGAGTGGTATCCAATCTGTCTGGGCGGGGCTGATGAAAGGAGATGTGGATAGCACCCATGTGGTACAATAGTGAATAATGCTATCAGGACTGACTGTGAAGATTGGAAATGTGAAGGTAAACGTTTTATAGCAAAAGGAAGGGAGTGATTGACTTTGCAGTCCAGAAGCAGAGGTCCCTGGGACCATCAAGGGAAAAGAGCGGAGAGTGGAACTCTACCCAGAGAAGCAGTGACGCCAGAGATGGAGGCAGAGAGGATGACTTGGAGAGATGAAACAGAGCAGCTGGGGACTCTGCCCTCAGGGAGGGAGAGGGGCTATGTGTTGACAATCGAGGGGCAGAATTGCAGGGTTTTGATGATGCATGGAGGGGATTGTAACCATGGCAATGAAACAATAAACAATAGCATGAATATAAAGCTAATGTTCTCCCATGTAAACTAGCACATTATGCACAATAAAAATTAAAAAAGAAAGACAGGTTTCTGGGAGCAAAAAAGGCACAGAGGCCAAGTGGGGAACAGGGCAGGTCAGTCAGAGGGAGATGAAGAGGGAAAGCTTGCAGTGTGAGAAGTTGCAAAAGTTGAAGTGTCTTCAAGAGCAAAAAGGAAGAAGAGGGAGAGGGAGAGACAGCAGCCAAGGGAGAGGCCTCACACCCACCCTATTTACCTGTCAGTGTCCCTCAACCATGGGCCTTCCCATACCCAAGCAGGACCACCTCTCTCTGGATCCCTGTCACCCTCTCCTTTGAGGTTTTTATCCCCTCTCTCTCTAGGTCTGTCTCCCTCCCTCTGAGTCTGTCCCCCTCTCTCTCTGGGTCTCTGTCCCCCTCTCTTGGGGCTCTTTCTCTGAGTCCCTGTCTCTCTGTCTCACCAGGTCTCTGTCCCTCTCTCTTTTCTGGTCTCTGTTCCCCTCTCCCTGGGTCCCCCTGTCCCTCAGACTATTCCTTCCCCCTCACAGTTTTAGACTTTACCTTCAGTTTGGACTGGATTTCCCTCGATTTCCTTCGGGCCAAAACCTGGATGTGACTAGAGACCTGGAGGGAAGGAGGAAGAAAGGGGTTCAGGCCACAGGCACTTTATCAATTGTGGCAGCAAAAAGTTCCCCACCCCTGCTGTACAGGGTTCCGTAGCCCTGAATCTTTATAGGAGCAAAAAGCTTCATCTTTCTCCCCACAGACTGGCTGCTAGATTTGAACTGCTGACCTTGCAATTAGCAGGCCAATAGGAAGTGCTCTGGTAGCGAAGTGGTTACGAATGGGGCTGCTAACCTCAAGGTCGGTAGTTCAAAACTACCAGCTGTTCCGTGGGAGAAAGATGAGGCTTTCTGTTCCCGTAAAGAGTTACAGCCTTGGAAACCCTGTGCAGGGTCGCTATGAGTCAGAACTGACTCCACGGTACTTAACAACAACAACTACTACGTAACCCACTACGCCATCTGGGCTCCTTGTACCTATGATTTGTTGTTGTTATTAAGTGCCGTCAACTCAGTTCCGACTCATAACGACCCTGTATAGGATTTCTGAGAAGTGGCTAGTGAGTTTAAACTGCTGACTTGTGGTTCAAACTGACCTTGTGCACCACACCTGGACTCCATACCTATGCTTGGTTTGTTTGGTTGGTTATATACCATGGAGTCAGTTCTGACTCATAGCAACCCTGTGCAGGGTTTCCAAGACTGTAACTCTTTATGGGAACAGAAAGCCTCATGTTTCTCCCACGGAACAGTTGATAGTTTCTAATTGTAGCCTGACTCGTAACTACTATGCTACCAGAGCTCCTTATACCTATGCTAGACAAAGCATATTGTTAACATGATAAGAACATAAGGGAAAGCACATGAACCTGGATCTTCCACAAACTTGAACCTGCCCATCTTGTAGCCAATTGCTTCTGCAGTAAACCTGAACTTATGTGTGTCAGAATAGAACTGTGCTCAAAAGCTAACCGTTTGTGCCACCCAGAGACTCTCCTTGTTCCTGAAGATACCCTTAAGAAGGCATCCCCTTCCCAAACAGAAACCCACAAGTCAGTCCCAAGACCTGTTTGCGAGTTCGGGTCTTTCCTGTTCTTAGCTTCATATAGCGGGCAATCAGTTCATTCCGACCTGACAAGAAAAGCATGGAACAGAGTTAGAACTTCAGCAGAACTTCCCAACAGAGAGGACACTGGGGAAGAAGGGAATAACTAGTTCCCAAAAGTCCAAGGTAAGCTGGGTCATGGGGCACCTCTGCTATATGTGTAGTTAAGACTGCCTGGGTTTGAATCCCTTCTGTGGCCTTAAAAAAAGAACAAAACACCAAAACACCCACAGCAAGTCAATTCTGACTCACAGCAATCCTAGAGGACAAAGTAGAACTGATCCTTAGGGTTTCCAAGGCTGCAAATCTTTATAGGAGCAGACAACCTCACCTTCTCCTAATGTGAACCAAAATGATCAAATCTTTGCCCGTCTCAGTTGCCTCATCTGTGACAGTGGTGAGGAGTCATGATGAGGTTGCAATATAATTCTATGTGAACGGTGCTTTTAAAAAAAGTTGCCACCACGTCAGTTTCAACTCACGACCACCCCATGTGTGTCAAAGCAGGGCTCTATTGAACATAACCTTTATAAAGGGAACACTGTGACACTGGATAGCTAGTCACCAGCCAGCCGCTCCAGGAGAAAGATGAAGCTTTCTGTTCCTATAAACATTTACAGCTTCAGAAATCCTATACAGGATTGATATAAGTCGGAACCGACTTGATGGCACTTAACAACAATAAATTTTTCCAAAAACATTTAACCAGGTCTTGTCTTCTGTGGAGCTGATGGGTGTGTTCAAACTGCCAACCTTTACGTTAAGTTAATGTCAAACCAACTGAGCCACTCAGGGTCCTAGGAAGAGCACTTAGAGTTCCATTGTTGTTATTGGGCATCATTGGGTTGATTCCAACTCGTAATAGCCCCCCATGTGACAGAGGGTCTTTATGGGAGCCGACTGCCAAGTCTTTCTCCCAGAGTCACTGGGTGGGTTGGAACCACCGACCTTTCATTTAGTAACCCACCACTTAACCATTGTACCACCAGAGATCATTTGAAAAACCCCAATACCAGGTTTCCAAGGGGCTTCCAAGACTGTGAACTTTATGAAAACAAACTGTGTCATCTTTCTTGCACTGAGAGGCTGGTGGGTTTGAAACACCAACGTTTCCATAAATGGTCCAATGTTTAACCCACTGTTCCATCAGGAATCCTAGGGATTCTTTGTTGTTGTTAAGTACCATTTCATTGCGACCCTGGGTGGTTTCCGTCAAGCAACTGGTGGGTTTGAATCGTCGACCCTGCAGTGAGCAGTCCAGTGCTTATGCTACAGCATCACATCAGGAGTTCCATTAACGCTGGTTATTATTATTATTAATATTATTATGCATTGGTGGGAACCAGGGTAAAAGAGAGAATGGATTTACCATACATCTTTCCTTCATCGGAGAGGATGATCTTCCGCCGGCCACAGGGTGGGTAGATGGCATGGGCCTCCTGGAAGGTCTGTTCAATGTCTGGGCTCCAGACACCCTCTGCATCCGGACCCCCATCTCCTCCAGCCCCCTCACTGCCACCAGTGCCTTCCTCACTGCCCGCCTCGCTGCCCGTCCAGCCGCTTCCATCCTCCACGGGGGGCCCGGCCCGGGGTTCTCCCATCTGGGCCTGGAGAAACATAGAGTTCATCAGGGCTCCACCTACCCACCCAGAGGGACCTCAGGGAGTGACAGCTGGAGGCCCAGACACCTGGGTCAGAGGGATGAGGGATTAGGGGGACCAGGACTCTTGGGTCTGAGGGAGGAGGGGGCTGGTAGAACAAACTCCTGGGATTGAGGGAGGAAGGGGAACCCTGAATCCTTAAAAAGAAGGTGTAAGGTGGTGTGTTCTCTTCAGAGTTTCCAGGGGAATTTGGATTATGATGAAGTCTTGAGCATCCCAGAGTAATGTCTGAGACCCATGAGGGTGAACCTTTGGGTATGAATTATTGGTTGTAAAGAAGACATAAGTCAGAGACTAGTTGTAGGAGAGAGGAGATATGGGTGAGAGCTTCTATGTCCCAGCACAAGAACACGTGCTAGGCATGAGCAGCAGCTCCTAGAAAAGCAGGATGAGAGGCACAGAGTCCGTAAGGCTGAGGGGAGACCAGGGCTAGAGGGGGACAGAGACCCAGACAGGAGGACACAAACCCACAGGGGAACAGAGACTCAGAGAGAGAGAGAGAGAGGGGCAAAGACCCAGGGAGAGGGGGACAGAGACACACACAGAGAGAGGGACAGAAATCCAGAGAAACGGGACAGAGACCAGGGGGATGGGGGCAGGGAGCAGAGACACAAAGTGAGAAAGACAGAGACTCAGAAAGAGAAGGGAACAGAGACTCAGAGGCAGAGAGGAGGGCAAACAACTGGAAAGTGGGGGGTGGGGGGAGGGGAGACCCAGAGAGAAGAGGGGGACAGAGATCAAGAGAGAGAGAGGGAGAGAGACCCAGAAAGGGGGATAGAGACCCAAAGAGAGGACAGAGACCCAGAGAGAGGGGGCACTCAGGGCAGACACTTAGGTGGAGACCAGGGAAGACCTACAGAACCGCAGGCTGGGGGGCAGAGGCGCACAGCCATCAGAAGAGCTAGAACAAAGGGCCCAGGGGTCCCCTCCCCCAGCTTCCCATAACCCCCATCAGAGGAGGGGCTAGTGGGAGAGGGACCTTCTCCAGTGGTCCCCAGCCCCACTCCCCCTCTTCCCCACCCCTACGCTGTGGACTCCGGTTCAACTGCAGTTCCCAGTGATTTTCCGGAGGCCGGGAACAGGGAAAAACTTTTTCCTGTACAGTCAGAGCCCACCACCGTGGAGGCTCATCTTCTTCCACGGGTTTTCCAGGACCCCAAAGTCCAAGCCCCAAGCGCCTCCTCCTTAGACTCAGGAGTCTGGATCCCCAGCCCCCTCCACCCTCAGATCCTGGAGCCTGGGCCCAGGCAGACAAAGACCCTAGACCAAACCCAGTATCTATGCTGCGTGCAGGACCCTCGTAGACCAAAACTCCAAGCCAGCCCTCCCCCATGTGGCCAGACAAAGGGATGGAGGCTGCGAGTGAGAAAGGTTCCCCTAGAGCCCAAACCTCCAAAAAGCACTGCAATCCCCCTATGCCACCCCAGAAGCCTTCCAAGCGCCCACAAATCACACAAGCAAATCCATTCGGCCACAGCATACACGAAGTCCTTGCTCCCAAATGACACGACTCCAGATGCCCACACATTCCCACGCCCCAATCAGCATTCCCGGCTCTCCCCAACTCACCGAGCATCTACCAAACTCAGACTTATTCCCAGACACCCTAACTCCGGCCAAAGTTCAACTCCACACTTCCACTTCGGCCTTCAGGCACAAAGAGGGCGGCCAGCAACACAAAGCCAGCCCCACAAGCACAACGCAACTCTGAACTCCTAACTTCCCAACCCAACTCCCACACCCCAAAGCAGGATTCCCGGCTCCCGCCGGCGCCTTCCTACCTCCTGGCCTAGCCTGGGAGCCGCGGGCGGGGCGCTACCGGGGAGAAAGTTGCCCGGAGCTTTGTTTGGGAAAAGGGGGAGGGACTGGAGGGGGGGCGGGCCTGGCGCCGGACAGCCAAGATGGGGGTCCGACCGTGACAACAAATTTGGGGGAGGATTTTTGCTTTGGGGGAGGAGGGATAGTCTAACTGGGAGCTGGTAGGAACTCAAGATTCAGACTTTTGGGTCCCTGGGAGAAGAGGGGGCTGGGAACCCAGACTCATGGGTATGGAGGAGGGAGCTGGGGATCTGGACTCTTGAATCTGAGGTAGGATGGTGCGGGTGGCCCGTTTCTTGGGTCAGAACAAGGAAGAGGTTGAGGTCTCACTCAGACTCCTAGGTCTGGTAGGAGGAGAGTTGGGGTCCAGGACTCCCAGATCTGAGAGAGAAGGGAGCTGGTGGGCAGTGGGTAGAGGTTAGACTCCTGGTTCTGTTCGATGAAAGGACTCGAGTCTGGATTCCTGGCTACCACCGTTTAGTGTGGTTGTCACATTTGTGTCTTAGAGCTTCAAGCCTACTTTTGTGGAATGTGTGTGCTGTAGAGTTGAGTCGGTTTAGACTCATAGCGACCCGACCCTGTGTATAGTTTCCAAGGAGCAACTGGTGGGATTGAACCACTGACCTTGTGGCTAGCAGTCCAGTGACTGTACTATAGCATCACACCAGTATTCCATGGGATCAAACGGACAATTCAAGAGATTAGAATCCTTAGTGGGGAGGTGAATTTATGTCAAAGGAGAAACAACTCAGAAAAAGAGGGTACACAACATGAAGAACGTGATGTCACTGAATCATAAATGTAGAAACTGTTGAATTGGTGTAGTTTGTTATGTATATTCTCAGTAACAGAATCAAACTTAGAGAAAAATATGAAAGGCTGGAATTTCGGTCCTGAGAAGACAGAGGCCAGATTTCTGGGTTCCCTAGAATGTGGGGCATTTTGTTGTTGCTACTAGGTGCCATAGAGTTAATTACAACGCATGGTGACCCTATGTACACCGGAAGCAAACCCTGCTGGGTCCCGCACTGTCCCCACAATCATTGATGTGTTTGAGACTCTTTCTGTAGCCATTGTTTCAAACCATCTTATCAAAGGTCTTCTTTTTCACTGGCCCTTTACTAAGTAAGATGTCCTCCCGGGACTAGTCCTTCCTGACAATATGTCCAAGCTATGAGACAAGTCATGTTTCCAAGGAGTATTCTGTCTGTCCTTATTCCAAGACAGATTTGTTGGTTCTTCTGGCAATCCAAGCTGTTAAGTGCCATCGAGTCGGTTCTAACTCATAGCAACCCTGTATGGAGTTTCCGAGGAGCAGCTGGTGGATTTGAACCGACGACTTTGTGGTTCAACCCGACATTACTGTCTAGCCACATCTGGACTCCATTCTGGCAGTCCATGATATACTCAATATTCTTCACCAATACCATACTTCAAATGTAGGTCCCAAAGGCCTCAAGTTCTGGAGAGAGCAAGCTTTTCAGTAGAACTGAAGCCGGGCTTCTGGATTCAAAGAGCCTACACTGCGCCTTTCGGTGCCTTCATCGTTTTACATTTTGGAGAAGAGGAATAGGACAGGGAGAAATGCTTAGATAGAAACAGAATTTAGGAGTGAGCTAGCGAACTAGGTTTCTGAACTCTGGCGTTTCCCTGAGAAGCAGGAGTTTAGGAATGGAATTGGTACTGAGGGACTACAAACGTGCGGGACCCAGTGAGAAGGCGTAGCTATAACTCAAAGGGCGTGGTTATCTGAAGCTGGGGCGGGACTCTGACTAAAGGACTGGAATCCTAGAGGCAAAACTGGATTTCCAGGGCGAGGTCTGTCAATAGGGGCGTGTCCAGAGGAAGGAGCGACGGTGTTATTGAAAGGGGGCGTGACAATGCCCATGCACTTGTGGGCGGGGCCCGGTTCGCGGGCGTGGTCATGAATAGGGGCGTGGTTAGGGCTCGCGAAGCCGTTCCAACGCCCCTAGTGTCCCTCCTGGGCTCGAGGCCAGAACTGTTTGGATTTAACAGTTCAAGGGCGACCCGAGGAGTCCGGGAGTCTGGTAACTTGACTGTGGTCTGGCACAAGGGCTAAGGCCTAGAAAACGGGGCGGGGCGAGGGCCAAGATCTGGAAGGGAGATCAGGGTACGAGGCAGAGCCCAGAAGGAGGGGGCGGGGCCTGGCAAAATGTAGGGGATGGGTGTGGAAGAAAAGAGGGAAAGGAGAAATATGGTGTGGTGGGATGGAGTCTGAGCAAGGGGCTGTTTGTTCTCAGCGAAAGGCCTGGTTAATAAAAGATGCCTTGGAAGATGGGGATCCAGTGAGGTGTCTAAATGGAGGTGTAACGACCTCGGGGCGGGGCCTTGATAAGAGGCAGATCCTCTGACCCCAACCTTTTTGCCGCAGCCCCCACGGCCGCCCCAAGATGTGGCCCCAGCTGGTCCTGCTGCTTTTGCTACCCGCCTTTGTCCTGGTGCCCCCCTCCACAGCCGCCCCAATCCATGATGATGACTCACAAGAGAGCTCCTTGGGCTTGCTAGGCCTCCAGAGCCTACTTCAAGGCTTCAGCCGGCTTTTCCTGAAAGTGAGCCATGGAGGGGTTGAGAGAAGCGAGAAGATCTGGGAGAAGATGGGGATAAAGGAATAAAAGAGATTCGGGAAACAGACGGATGGATCCAGGCAGGCCGGCAAACTGGAAGAATGAGGGAGACAAGGAGGCCAAGAGATAGGAAGGGAAGGAAGTGAACAGATAAAGGGAGAGGGACAAAGACAGGGACAAGAGAAAGACAAGAGGTTGAGAGATGAAGAGAGGGGAACAGGGTCAGGGAGACTGAGAGACATTAAGAAAATCACCCAGAACCCGTTGCCATGGAGTTGGATTCATAGCAACCCCACTGGCATTGAGTCAAGTCTGACTCACAGTCATAACGACCCTACATAGGGTCTCCAAGACTGATTATCTTTGTTGGTGCAGATGGTTTCATCTTTCTCCCAAGGAGCACCTGTTGTTGTCAAGTGCCGTAGTGTTGATTCCAACATAGAGCAACCCAGTATAGGGCTTCTGAGGAACAACTGGTGGGTTTGAACCATCAACCCTTTGATTAACAATCTGGTCCTTACCCTTCAGCACCACACCAGGACTCCAGGTTCCTATGATCGTTGTTGTTGTTGTTAAGTGCCATCGAGTTGGTTCTGACCCATAGCGACCCTGTACAGGGTTTCCGAGGCTATAAATCTTTACGGGAGCAGAAAGCCTATCTGTCTCCTGCGGAGCAGCTGGTAGTTTCGAACTGCTGTCCTTGTGGTTCGCAGCCCGATTCGTAACCACTACGCTACCAGAGCTCCTTATGACACATAGATAAAACCAAAAATAAACCTACTTCCATCAAGTCAATTCTGACTCATAATAAAGCTATTCAGGGGGTTTAGAAATTGTCAATCTTCACATGAGTAGATTTTCTTATCTTTCTCCCAAAGAGAGGCTGGGGCTTTGAATAGCCCACCTTGTGGTTAGCAACCCAACACCTAACCCACAACATTACCAGGACTCCTGTGATAGATACAAAGATAGTTGGAGAGAGAGGAACACAGAGACAGCAGGACAGAAGCTGAGACACAAGACTAGGAAGGTAATGAGACAGGGAATAGACACAAGATGCAGAGACAGGGCTAGGCAGGCAGCTGGAACAGAGACAAATCTGGCCTGGGAGCTGGAGGTGAACAGGTTAGAGGACAGAGAGAGGAAGGGGTTAGGTGGGACATAGGGCAAGGCCTTGAGGGCATCCTGGCAGGGCTGCAAATTTAATGAAGAGTCATAAGGTCCCACTTTCTGCCCCAGGATGACCTGCTTCGGGGCATGGACAGCTTCTTCTCGGCCCCCATGGATTTCCGGGGCCTCCCCAGGAACTACCACCAAGAGGAGAACCAGGAGCGCCGGCTGGGAAACAACACCCTCTCCAGCCACCACCAGCTTGACAAGGTGCCTTAGCCAGGAAGTCCTTCCTGGAGTCTCACCACAGTGCCTCATGTTGCAATATTGTCTGGAGGGGGGAAGAGGGCAGAGGCGGAAAGTGAGTTTGCTATTCACTCTCTCCTCTCATCCTCACAGATGACCGACAATAATACAGGAGAGGTGCTGATCTCTGAGAAGGTGGTAGCATCCATCCAGCCTGCGGAGGGGAGCTTGGAGGGTGACTGGAAGGTTAGGATAATGCTATCTGTCATACTTACAAAAAAGACCAGTTAATAATACCACTATTAAAATTTACGTTCCAACTACTAAAGCCAACAATACGATACAGAAACTGAGGAATTTAAACAACTTCTTCTGTCTGAAGTTGATCAAACATGCAATCAAGTGGTGTGGTTAGGTTAGGTTAGGTTAGGTTAGGTTAGGTTAGGTTAGGTTAGGTTAGGTTAGGTGCCGTTAAGTCTGTTCCAATCCATAGCAACCTTATGTAGAACAGAATGAAACACTGCCTGGTCCTTCACCATCCTCAGAATTGCTGCCACACTTGAGTCCACTGTGCCAATCCATCCAATTGGGGGCCTCTCTCTTTTTCATTGAACCTCCGCTTTACCATGATGTCCTTCTCCAAGGACTGGTACTTCCTGATAAAATGTCCAATGTATGAGAGATAAAGCCTCACCACCTTGGCCTCTAAGGAGCATTCCAGTTGTACTTCTTCCAACACAAATTCATTTGCTCTTCAATATTCTTCTCTGACACTACAATTCAAATTCATCTACGGTCTTCCTTATTCATTGTCCAACTTTCACATGTATGAGGCAATTGAAAATTGAAAATCGCTTAGGTCAGGCACACTTTAGTCCTCAAACTGACATCTTTGCTCTTGAACACTTTAACGAGGTCTTGTGCAGCAGATTTGCCTAATGCTATACGTTGTTTGATTTGTTGACTGCTGCTTCCATGAGTGCCGATGGTGGATCTAAGAAAAATGAATTATTTGACAACTTCAAATTGTCTCCATTTATCATGATGTTATTTATTAGTCCAGTGGTGAGGATTTTTGTTTTCTTTACACTGAGGTACAATCCATACTGAAGTCTGTGGTCTTTGACCTTCATCAGTAAATGTGTTAAGTCCTCTTTGCTTCCTGCAAGCAAGGTTGTGTTACCTGCATATTGCAAGTTGTTATCCAATCCTGATACCATGTTCTTCTTCACTTAATCCATCTTATTCAGCCTGCAGATTGAATAAATATGGTGAAAGATACAACCCTGGCACACACTTTTCCTGATTGTAAACCATTCAGTGTCCCCTTGTTCAGGGCAATCAAGATGCATTAATAATTACTGGTGATTAGAATGTGAAAGTTGGAAACAATGAGGAAGGATCAGTAGTTGGAAAATATGGCCTTGGTGATAGAAACAATGCTGGAGATTGCATGATAGAATTCCACAAGACATGCAAACACATTTTTTTAAACACGAAAGGTGACTATGCACAAAAATCTCACCAGATAGAACACACAGAAATCAAATTGACTACATCTGTGGGAAGAAACAATGGAAAAGCTCAATATTATCAACCAAAACAAGACCAGTGGCAGACTACGGAACAAGCCATTAATTTCTTATACTCAAGTTCAGGTTGAAGCTGAAAAAAATTAAAACAAGTCCACAAGAGCCAAAATATGACCTTGAATATTTTCTTGAGACCATCTCAAGAACAGATTTAATGTATTAAACACTAATGACCAAAGACCAAAAGAGTTGTGGGATAATATGAGAATATCATACAGGAAGAAAATTAAAGGTCATTAAAAAAGACAGGAAAGAAAGAAGAGACAAAATGGATGTCAGAAGAGACTCTGAAACTTGCTCTTGAATGCAGAGAAGCTAGAGCAACTAGAAGAAACGAGAAAGTAAACGAGCTGAACAGAAAATTTCAAAGGAGACCGAAAGAATATAAAGTCAAGTATTAACAGTGAAATGTGCAACTACCCAGAGTTAGAAAACCAAAAGAGAAGCACATGGTCAGTGTTTCTCAAGCTGAAAGAACAGAAGAAAAAGTTTAAGCCTCAACTTGCAATATTGAAAGACTCTATGGGCAAAATATTGAATGACATAAAAAGAAAATAGAAGGAATACAGTCATTGTACCAAAAATAAACTGTTAGTGTTCAACCATTTCAAGAGTACAAGCTGTGCTGAAGACATTAGCCAAAAAACAAGGCTCCAGGAATTGATGGAATACACATTTAAATGTTTCAACAAACTGATGTACTGCATGTGCTCACTCGTCAGTGTCAAGAAATTTGGAAGACAATTACCTGGCCAAGTGATTGGAAGAGATCTTTATTTGTGCCCATTCCAAAGAAAGATGATCTAACCAAATGTGAAAACAATAAAAAAAATATATAATTAATTTCACATGCAAGTAAAATTTGAAGAAGAAAATGCAAAAGCAGTTGTAGCAACACATCTACAGCTACTAAAACTTCATGCCAGATTCAGAAGAGGATGTGGAATAAGGGAATCATTGCAGAAATCAGATGGATCTTGACTGAAAGCAGAAAATACCAGATGTTTGCTTGTGCTATATTGATTATGCAAAGATATTCGACTATGTGGATCATAACAAACTATGGATACCATTGTGAAGAATGGGTTTTTCAGAACACTTAGTTGTGCTCACAAAGAATCTGTACATAGGCCAAGAGACAGTCATTAGAATAGAACAAGGGGATACTGAATGATTTAAAAATCAGAAAAGGTGTGCACCAGGGTTGTATCCTTTCACCATACTTATTCAATCTGTATGCTGGGAAACTGGATTATATGAAGAAGAATGTGGCATCAGGATTGGAGGAATACTCATTAACAACCTATGGTATGCAGATAACACAGCCTTGCTTGTGGGAAGCAAAGCCGACTGACTTAATGTATTTACTGATGAAGATCAAAGATCACAGCCTTCAATACGGATTGCACCTCAGTTTAAAGAAAACAAAAATCCTTACAACTAGACCAACAAATAACATCATGATAAATGGAGAAAATGTTGATGTTGTCAAAGACTACATTTTGCTTGAATCAAGAGTCAACACTCATAAAAGCAGCAGTCAAGAAATCAAACAGAATGTGAAGCTGATGATATGCCCTGTAAACTTTCACTCAATGCAAAATAAAAACATTTAATTAAAAAAAAAAAAAAAGAAATCAAACAGCAAATTGCATTAGGCAAATTGGCTACAGAAGACCTCTTTTAAGTGTTAAAGAACAAAGATGTCACTCTAAAGACTAAGGTGCACCATGATATTTCTAATAGCCTCATATGCATATGAAAGTTGGACAATGAATAAAGAAGACTGTAGAAACTATGCATTTGAATTATGGTGTTGATGAAGACTATTGAAAGGACCAGGGATTGCCAGAAGAACAAACAAATCTGTGTTGGAAGAAGTACAATCAGAATGCTCCTTAGAAGCCAGGATAAACTTTCTCTCTTGTACTTTGGACAGATCAGAAGGGACCAAGAAGGACATCATGCTTAGTAAAGTGGAGGGTCAGAGAAAGAACCCCAACAAGATAGATTGGCACAGTGGCTGTAACAATGGGCTCAAACATAACAACTGTGAGGCTCTCTAGTCATAGTGTCCCCATAGGACAGAGCAGAACTGCCCCATGAGGTTTTCAAGACCTTACTGAAGAGTGCGGTGGTTAAATGCTCTGCTGCTAAGCGAAAAGTCAGTGGTTTAAACCCATCAGTTGCTCCACAGGAGAAAGATGAGACAGTATGCTCCCATAAAGATTTACTATCTTGGAAACCCTAAGGCGGACCAGTTCTACAATCTCCTATAGGGTTGTGATGAGTCAGAATCAACTCAATGACAATGAGATTAGAAACCCCATTGAAGACAGGTCTGCTGGTCTGCTTCCTTGTCAATGTTATAGAGCACAAGTCTACACATGGGGTCACCATAAGTTGAAATTGACTTGACGGCAACTAACTATAACCAGAATTTATTTAATCTGTATGCTGAGCAAATAATCAGAGAAGATGGATTATATGAAGAAGATTATATGAAGGGCAAAAAGATTGGAGGAAAACTCATCGACAAGCTGTGATATGCAGATGGTACAATCTTGCTTGCTGAAAGAAAAGAGAACTTAAAATACTTACTGATGAAGCTCAAAGACCACAGCTTTCAGTATGGGTTACCACCTCAATGTAAAGAAAACAAAAATCCAACTTCCAGCAAGATGGCAGACTAGACAGATGCACTACACGGACTCTCTAGAACAAAGACGATTGTTGTTGTTGTTAAGATACTAAAGACAAAATAACACAGATGAAAATTTCTAGCACCCTGGATTTTAGAAGAAAGATTAGAGAGGTGGATGGAGTGCTTGCTGGGAGGAAAAACTGAGCAGGGACAGTGAGAGAGGGAGACTAACTGGTAAATGGCTGACCAAACTCAGCTCAAGTGTCTTGTGAGCAGCTTTAGAAGCAGAGGGAGGCCTGACATCGGCACGGGTGATGGAAAAGGTGTTTTCTTCTTTTTTGTCACACTCCTCAGTGACCAGAAGTATGACCAGATCCCACCCTCATCCACTCCCAGCGCAGAGCCTGTTCTCTGGAAGTTCAGAGTCCTGTGGTTGGGAGCCATGCCAGCATGAGATGAGAGCCGGTTGTGCCACTTTGGTGTGCTGCTTTGGTGTCTGGATTCAAGTGGGTTTGGCTCTAGACCTACAAAACCCGCAGAGCCACCAGACCAGCATTTAACCAGTCATTCTGCCCCCCAGCTTCTCTGTAGTCCTAACAGACAATGAAACCAGCTCCATCGAGAGCCCCCACGAACTACTTCCTGATTGAGCGTCCTGAACATAGATAACACCAAGGCCAATAGGAACTCGATCTAGGGTCAAAAACTCTGCTGTCACATCCCTTCCACAATCACCACATGAGATCCTTGAATTGTTGGAGCCCACCAAAGATTTCTCCTCTCTGGGCCCAACAACTGCATTGTTAGTTTTTACAAATACAACAAGCTCACAATGCCATGGAGACAATAGGCAGTTTTAACTCACATGAAGAAACAAAAGAGAATGGCTCAAACAAATGGCCAAGATGTACAGCCTGAGGAAGAAAAGATAATAGATCTAACTGAAAAAAAATTCCAAAGAATGATAATTGGGTACCTTCAAAGAATAGATTGAAAAATCAAGGAAAACA